AAGGTTTATATTCAAATTTTTGGCATATATTTTCCTACTATTATTTAAACAACAAAAAAGAAAAAAGTATTCATGAAAATATTGAAATTATATTATTTACAAATCTATTGGGAAAACAAATCTTCATTTCTAGGATTAAACTACATTTAACCACAGTGTATTGTCATTTTATATGTTATTTGTTGGGGGCCTTTGTTGTGTAAAGTAGAAGTTTCTTCATGTCCGGATAGCTCACGAGCTTGGAGCCATATGTAGAGACTCCTTTCACAGCAGGGCGTCTTCCCGGCATTTTTCCTGACTCCTTTGTGAAGTAGCAGCCACAGGAATGTAGCCTCCGGCTCTGTAACTATTAGGCTTTCCTGTGTGATTTTTAAGCAGTTTGGCAGCCTGGCGGGAGCCCATTTCCACATGCAAATGAGGCATCCCCAAAATACCTATCAGCTAAAGCTTTTACCACTGCCCCTACACTATAAAATATCATAGTCTTCTCTCAATAATTTGGAGCTGGAAGAAGGAGCTGGAGCTAGGAACTAGAGCTGGGGCACTGAGACTTGGAATAAAGAGCTGTAACACTGAGTCTAACTGAGCTGAGTCTTGTCTCACTGCCTACGATCCAGCCTTCCCGGGAAGAGCTGTCTTTCCATCACTGACTCACGGATCCCAGCTTTAGCCGCCCTCACACTCTCCCGCGTGATCCAGGAGCCGGTGGATTTCTCATCTTGAGGAAAGTGCACGGGTGAAATTAGGGCGGGACTCGGCTGGGCAAAGCCTCAGCAGCAGCAGGCTTTCAGCACCGCAGCGGTGGACAGCGACGCACGCGACTGAGAACAGAGAAGCCGATCCCAGCGGAACTCGCTGCCTTCCAGGGCGCGCGCAGGGGACCGATCCCCGCGGGACCGCGCGCCCCATACTTCAACAGTTGTTTTTTCCCACCTTTATCTGAGGGTCAAGGAGCAGTCAAATACTTGTGAATTCCAGCAATTAACCATCTTCCCTAAATTATCAACACATTCCTCCTGACTTGGCAGAACAATTCAGGAGTGGTGTGCAAAACACACAAACTCTTGAGTCAAGGTGAAAGATCATAAACAAGCAAGCCTGCCACAGCTCAGTGTACATAATGGCTGTGCTTATACTAATAGCTCCCAACAGTGGGGCAACTGCGGATGTGCGCTTGATGGTACACAGGGTGGGACTGGCTCAAGAGAGAGACTGTATGTGCTGTGGGCAGCAGAGTTGGAGGGGCCGTTGAAGACCTATGGACAATTCCATCAGGAGTTTCAGATGCCGGGCATGGAGCTGCAGGGTTTGGGGTTTGCTCTGTTGTTGCTTGGTTGGTTGGTCTGTCTTGAGACAAGGTCTCCCCGTAGCCCCAGCTGGCCTGGAACTCATTATGTAGATTGGATGGCCTGAATCATGTAGAGATCTGCCTGACTCTGCCTCCCAAATGCTGGGATCAAAGAGGTCCTCAACCAAGCCTGGCTTCCTTTGTTTATTTGTTTAATAATTATTTGTGGTCTTTGACTTTGGTTTTTTTGAGGTTTGTTGTTGTTTGGGGATATTAATTTGTTTGTTTTTATGTGTAAGATTGTTTCACCTGCTTGTGTCAAGTGTACCACATATGTGCAATGCCCTTGGAGGCCACAAGAGGGCACTAGATCTCCTGTAACTGGAGTTACAGATGGCTGTTAGCTGCCTTGTGGGTGCTGGGAACTGAACCTGGATCTTCTGCAGGAGCAGCCAGTGTCTTAACCGCTGAGCCAGCTCTCCAGTCCCTGGAATAGAACTTTATGCCAACATATATTTGAAATGTGTAACTTTTTTTTGGCATGTGTGGGAGGGGTGGAATATGTGTGCCAGGGTACATGTGGAGTTCAGAGGACAACTTTAGGTGTTGCTCCTCACCTTTCACCTTTTCTGAACAAAGAAGGAAAACGAAGGAGGAGGAGGAGGAGGAGCAGGAGGAGGAAGAAGACAAAGGCTGGGCATGTAGCTCAGTGGCAGGGCACTTGGCTTGGAAGACTCTACAGCAAGAGGCTTTAATTCCCAGCACTGCGGAAAAAAGGGGGGGACTCCAAAGACACAAAGATCACGAGAGAACATGAAAAGCGAGAGAAAGCCTACGTTTTTCAATCTTTTTAAAAATTTTTATTATTTTTATTTTATGTGTATGAGTGCATTGCCTGCATGTATGTGAGCGCACCTCTGTCGGGCAGTGCTGCGGAGGTCAGAAGACAGCTTCGGATTCCCCTGGAACTGGAGTTAAGGACGATTCGTATCCGCCATGTGGGTGCTGGGAATCGAGCCCCGGTCCTCTGCAAGAGCAGTCAGTGCTCTTAACCACTGAGCCATCTCTCCAGCCCCTCAACCTTTTTTTGAGGCAGGTCACATGTAGCCCAGGCCAGCCTTGGACTCCTTATGTCCCCTAGAATGACCTTGAATTTCTGATCTACCTGCTG